ACTCTACGTTGCGTGTGCGGTGTATTTGTATTTATTAACTAATAACTTGTACGTTGCATGTACGATGTATTTGTATTTATTAACTAATAACCTTGTACGTTGCATGTACGATGTATTTGTATTTATTAACTAATAACTCTACGTTGCATGTAAGGTGTGTTTGTATTTATTTATTAACTAATAACTTGTACGTTGCATGTACGGTGTATTTGTATTTATTAACTAATAACTCTACGTTGCGTGTACGGTGTATTTGTTTATAACGTCGGCAAAAACAAAATGGCATAATGAACAATTACGCATGCCAGTGCATGACGTGTACGTGAACAGTTCGTTGTTTGGATTTTTTGTGCTTGTTTGGCGAGTTAGTAGTGGGCTAATCTTAAATCTGACGAATCGACTTGTGGGACGAATCGACTTTGGGACGAATCGACTTGTGGGACGAATCGACTTTGGGACGAATCAACTTGTGGGACGAATCGACTTTGGGACGAATTAACTTGTGGGACGAATCGACTTGAGACGAATCGACTTGTGGGACGAATCGACTTGGGACGAATGTGATTTGGGACGAATCGACCGTCCCCCCGTAGGAACGTTTTTTGAAGGATCTTTAATAGATATCAAAGTTTAATTGATTTGTACTAACCAACTGATAATTATCAATTGTAAGTGGGCTTTGTTGCAATCAAAATGCACTCCACACGTAGTTCGATTTCTAGACATCTCGGCCGAAATTGAACATCTCAACCCAGACACCCTGGCATCACAGGCGCTTGGAACGTTTCTTGGCTAATAAAAATAACCTAAAACGTTTGGAACTGTGCATGTTTGGAACTGAACATTTAACCCGTTCGAATAAAGGTAAGGTAAGGTAATGTAATGTAAGGTAATGTAAGTAAGTCGATCGATAGCTTCTATCGATATCATGCTTGAGTTGTGTGAAGCAGATCGAAATATAATTTGGAAAATCATGTTATTTTCGGAAAGTTTCAATGTCATGGTGTCAACGCTTTCCTACCTTGTGTTATTTTATGAGTAGTAGGGGAATGTACCGGCGACTGACTAACTATGCCGATCCCATTTTAGGTCATTTTTATTAGCCAAGAAACGTTCCGAGCGCCTGTGCCTGGCATACATATAAATGTACCAAAATGAGCCAAGTACGGGTGAAAAGTATGGGTTGTACTTTTCAGAAAATAGTGAGTACAGGCGATATTTGTAGCGAGTACGGGTGATACTTGTAGCGAGTACGGGTGGTAATTTAGCAGTACATGGAGGTAATTTAGCGAGAGCGAGTGATAAAATGTAGCCAGTATGGAGGTTGGTGGTAAAATATAGCGAGTACAGGGTGAGGGTATTGCGGGGTAAAATGTACGGGATTTATACAACAATTACGGGTGCAGCAAAACACTCAATTGAGAAAGAAAATAGCAGTGGTACGAACTGAAACTAGTTCAATCTAACGAACTGAAACTAGTTCCATCTTA